AGCTGTAACATCTCAGAAGCAATGCAAGCTGCAAAATCTGTTTGTCTGACTGCAGATGACAGATTTAGGCGACTGCCCATCATAAGAAATGAAATAAAGTGCTGGTGTGACAGTGGATTATGAACAAAATGCTTTTTCTTCTCACTGATTGTATTCACTACACCCTCAAGTGCAGTGAATACAATCAGCTTCCTGGAGAGGCCTTTTATTTTGTGGAGCTGTGCCCATCAGCACAGAGTGGGGTGGAGAAGAGCAGGTCATGATGACTTTAAAGGGATTCTGTAACTGAACTTTCATCAGCAAAACAAGACTTCAGTGAGACCGGGATGGCTTCATGAACTGCTAAGATTCAGTGTAGGATTATTTAAGGATCTTAGATTAAGTGCACAGAAAGTAAAGGTGAAGAAGGGATCACACAATTAAAGGACAAATTCCAGTGAGCAAGTCTCAGGTGTGTTTTCATAGAATCATAGAATGGTTTGGGTTGAAAAAACCTCAAGATCATACAGTTCCACCCCCCTGCCACGGGCACGGATGCATCACACTAGAGCAGGTTGCTCCAAGCCTGTGTGTCCAACCTAACCTTGAACACTGCCAGGGATGGAGCAGCCACATCTTCGCTGAGCACCCTGTGCCAGCGCCTCACCATCCTTGTATAGTGAACAATTTCTTCCTTATATCCAACCTAAATTTCCCCTGTTTAAGTTTGAACCCATCACTCCTTGTCCTATCACTACAGTCCCTGATGAAGAGTCCCTCCCCAGCATTGTTATAGGCCCCCTTCAGACACTGAAGCTGCTCTGAGGTCTCCACGCAGCTTCTCTTCTCCAGGCTGAACAGCCCCAACTTTCTCAGCCTGTCTTCATACAGGAGGTGCTCCAGCCCCTGATCATCCTTGTGGCCTCCTCTGGACTTGCTCCAACAGCTCCACGTCCTTCTTGTGTTGAGAACACCAGAATTCAGCCTTCTCCGAATCCAGGGTAGATTACTTTTTCTTTTATCTGGTTTACATTTGTAATGGAACTTCCACAAGTCTTACTGGGAAGCTATTCTGCAAGCAGACACTCCCTCTAGTTTCCTTTGGCCGTTTGCAGGCTATTACTGCCTGCCTTGTCCTTTCTGTCCTAACCATGAGCATGTCCTAACCCTGTCCTAAACCTGAATAGCATTTGGTGAAGAATTATCAAATGGTGGCCACCCCTTTCTCCCCCCATGCATGAATGTAAGGCAGAAAATTATTCTTTCAGGATGCCATCTGAAGCTCCATGGAACCAGCTCCTCAGGGAGGCCAGATCATCTCCAGTAAATTAACAATGAACCAAGATGCTTTTCTAACCACTGATCTCTCCATAGCAATTCCAGACCACGCTGTGCACATGGACAAGCCTGCCCCAGCTGAAATTTGCTGTATGCACAGCCAAAGGAAATGTTCTGTTTGCAGATCTTAGTGTCAACACTGCAGTGGGAATTTAACCAGTAATTGTGATGGTGAGCAAGTAAAAAAACCCCCATATTTCCACCCCTCTGCAGCAGTCATGGCTCTGCACTAGTGCCAGCAGCAAGCAGAAATAACATCCTTTTGGTTTGATGTGAAAGTAAACTGGAAGCACCAGTGGAAACAAATGTGTTGAAGATGTGTTTTAGGAGGGAGATTGAACAGCATAAACAAACTGTGATGCAGCAGATAGTTTCAGTTATCAGTCCTTGTTTCTGAACTGTTCCAGCTCCAAAATGCTTCAAACCTAAAATATTTAGTATATCCCAGTGATGAAAGGTAAAAAAACCCACCATTCTTCTCAGCTGTAAATAAACTCTAGTCATCATATTTTTTTAAAGGAAAGGAGGCATGAAAAACAAAGCACAAAGGTTGGAAAAGGGAGAGGGTCTATGCTGAGAGAACCTTCCCAGCAGAGCATCACTTCTCCCCACAGGAGACTGTGGGCTCTGGGTGCCAAAGCTTAGCCGTGTTGTCCCACTTTGGCCATGTTCATTGACATCCAGAGTAAAGCCCTGGGACTGAGCCATTGGTTCAAACAGACACCCTGTCCAGGGACTTGTTTTCTAGGAGTACTCATTGCTGAAGATGACGGGAGTGTGAAGATTTTGCTGATTATTTGAATTGTTTCGATTAATGTGAGGTTTAGCTTAACCTCACATAGACTTTCAACCAGCAGAACATAACAGGTTTGACACCGTTTCCCAGGAGCTCACTCCTTTTAGGCTGGTGTTCACAGCCAAAGACAGAGGCCTGAACTTTCTGACCTGGGAGACCATCTCTAGTTCTATCTTCCTCTAAGACTAAAGGTTCAGTGATGGATTAGTCACACTGCACTACATGCATATACATTCATCTGTGTATGTGTTTATTCCTTTCTGGCTTTGGACCTTAATCATTGGACAGTAAGGAGTTAGAAATCCAAAATCTAAAGCAAGCAGAATTTTCCATTATTTACAATGCAGTAGCACTTAATACATGGAAGACAATTGCCAAATCTATAAGTAGCCATTGCTATGCTCTTTAAAAATATGGGGAGCAGTATCAGGCAGACAAACTCATTCTTAGGTAACAGAATTAGAAAATTTATATTATTCTATTTTGCTTTTAATAATGGGCTATGTTACATCAGCTTTCTTTTATGCAAACTTACTGAGATAATACTAAGTCACTGAAAATGAAATAGCACCAGAAAAGAACTGTCAGTCTGCTTTACTCATTTCCCATTTTGCTTCCCTTGTGAAAGAGCTGTATTGTTTCAAAAGGAAGGAGCCAGGCAGTCCAGAGAACAAAGGCTCCTAATTGTTCAGGAGAACGTTGTTACATTCCTAATTGATCTTCAAAGTTGTAGACTTGCAGTCTCTACAAAAGTGAGGACTGCACAGGGTGGTCTACACAAAGATCAGGCTTCAGACTAGCTGGGGTCTTGGTGAGGGAAAACAGAGCATCTTTGAACTTCACATAAAAAATGAGGCATCACTTTCTAGAATCATTTAATGTTGAATGAGGAATAACAACCTGATGTCTCAAACTAACAGAGAGCCCATGCCACTTTTCCTCCCATCAAATGAACTGAAAATCTTTACTAAACCTTTCGGCTGATATTGACAAATACCTACGGTTCTGATTTTTCCCAACGGAAGTACAAGCTTTTCTCCTGATTGCTGTGCAATCTTACTAACCTTAATCACTAGTTTTGCAGCAAGTAAAAAACTGTAATGTTTACTAAAAATATCAGTACCTTATTGCAGAAGAAAACCAAGAATAATGATTCTTAGCACTCAGCCTTTGGAAATAAAACAAACAAGCAGGAACTGAAGTCTGCTCATACCTACATCTATCCACATGCATGAGGTAGTTTGTCTCCTTTCCAGAGCTATCTCCCTAGAGCACCTAATGATTTTTTTCATCTCCTAGCCACTTTGCTGCCAAGTGGTGCACATAAACCTATCTCTAAAAACACTGTACAGATTGCTTCTAGTGCTGAATATACCTGCTTCTGGTCTGTAAGGATGAGTCCACTAACACCCCTTAAGCATACTCTGTTCTTCCCACTATCATCTGGGGCACAAATGATCTGGGATTCTGGCATCTGTAGTGTGCAGTAACAATTGTTGAACTCCCAGTAGCATGCTGAAGCAAGACCATGAAAAGCTACACATAGGACTTAGTGTTTTGTCAGGCTTTTATACTGGAAGCCTAAGCGGCAATGGGAGAAGTTTGTAATTCTTTGTGTGCCTGACACACTGTATTATGATAACAACCCATGGCTGGGGTACCATATTAACCTGTAAGAGCTGAAAATGTTTGCTAGAGGAAAAGCTTCAGACAGACAAGCAGTAAATAGAAAATTCAGATCTTTTCTGAAATGTTACATTTGCATAACATCTTTGTTTATAGCAAGCACCCATCTTGCTCTTGGCATATTTCACATTCATCTGCAGTCCCATCAGGATCCCTTGATTTCTTGGACTTCTATTGGAAGATGCAATAACAAGGAGCCATGGCTGGGGGACAATCCATGCATGGCATGTGCCAAAGTACAAGGAACATTGTCAGAGTGCCTAGATGCATAAATGTTTGACAGCCTAAATCAGGTGACAGCAACATAGGACTTACTGTCTTGTCAGGCTTTTATACTGGAAGCCTAAGCGGCAGTGGGAGAAGCTTGCAGTAACACCTGTAAACACGCCTGCACCTCAGCAGGCGCACAGACCATTGTTGAAATACGTGCTGCCACACTTTTACTCCTATAAATGAGTTCAGAAGCACAAATGCCTTCCAGTGCTTCAGTCTTAACTCGGATTATATTGTAGACATAACTATAAAGTTAGCTGGGTGTAACAGAACATTCATCCCAGTCCTTCACAATATCATCCATCTGGTGACTCTCTATGACATATGTCAGAGTGGCATTACTTTAAAAGCATTACCTGCACATCGCCATTCTTAATTCACTAGACTATTTCAGGGTCAGCTACGAAGTAGTATGTCTTGAATCCCAGTGGCAGCCAATTCCATAGGTGGCTATTCTTAATTCACTAGACTATTTCAGGGTCAGCTACGAAGTAGTATGTCTTGAATCCCAGTCAGCCAATTCCATAGGTGGCTGCCCCTGAGTTTATTGTGCCTGACAGAGCTCTCTTTTAGGGCTGACACACGTTTTAAGCAGTGCTCATCACTTGTTGCTCTGTGATTTTGTATTTGGAGCACATACAGCATTGCATGTCTGCTGAGACAAAATCAGTTCCTCCCCAAACAGAAGTCATTTATAATGATGAAAACTAAAGGGAAATAGCAAACTGTTGCTCACATACTTAATTTCTGTTGAGGACCAAAGATTGATGTGGTTGTTTTGCCTTTCTGTATATTTAAAAATTAGCTTAATAATCAATCAATAATGCATGTATTAAACCAACACTTTTCCCTGTTCAGCACTTTTCCTACTGTGCCCAAACTCAGCCCAATTAAAAGCCCACTTAAAGGAGAGGAAAAGTAGCCTTACCTGCCACACTGGCTCTGTGTGCTTTCCTGACTTCGCACAACTCTTGTAGCTGGGATGGGAGGTTGTCTTCAGGTTGTAGATGGCCACATTGCCATCATAGAAGCCCACTGCCATGAGGTAGGGGTAGTCATCGTGGAAGTCCAGGCACATGATGCCACTCTCACTGCTGAAGATATACTCTGGGAAGGAGGGGTTCTTCATGGTGTAGAGCAGAAGCATCCCCTGGCGCTGTTTCATTAAGTCATCTAAACAAGGAGGAGCTTTGCTTTTAAATCAGTTTCCAAGATTCTCTACAGTTTGACAGCACTCACCTAAGTCTAACACTCACCTGAACACAAAGATATGTGGGAAGGACATCTATCACAGGACCAAACAGTCATGTTAGTGTGCCTACACCTGAACATCCTTTCCTCTATTGATATGTCATCCTCAGGACAAAAGGACAATGTGCTTATACAGAAAAACTACTGGTCTGGCAGGTTTTTTCTAGAAGAGAGACTTGAGAAGTCTTCGAGAAAATGTGCTGAGTTAAAAAGAATCTTGTGGGCACTTCTTTCTTTGGGCTAGGATTTCACTAGCATTGCAGACATGTAGGCTGAACCAAGGATAGTGGCATGTCAATTTCTATATCGGCAATATTTGATTTTATACTGCTTCTTCAAAGAAAATCATTTCATTGAAGTATCTGTAAAACATTACACATAACTGTAAAATGCACAAGTCACTACAGCTTTATTTTCTGCTTATGTCCAACATCTCCGCCTTGCTTGGCACAGAAGCTCTCTTTTTTTGCCAAGACTTTCAATTTTCTTTTCTATTTACTTTAATCTTCCCTTTGCACTGCCTGAAATTAGCTCTCCCTATTCTGAACAGGGACATCTTTCTTTTGTGCTTTTTTATTTTTATCATGATGTGTAATTGTCAGGAGGGGTTTGGTTTTTTGGTTTTGTATTGGTTGGTTTGGTTTTTTTTTCTTATCTCAAAAACAATTTCTCATTTCTTTTAAAAGGGAAAAAAAGCTGTTGATGTTGGTTTTTTTTACATTGTTGATGTACATAAGCTCTCCAGATGCAAAGAAGGAGCTTTCCTAATCTACAAAAACAGTGCTTTCTGACAGCATCCTAGCTATCCCTCCACGTGCTTTTTCTTATTGCCAAATGCCCTTGGGCACACAGTATATGGGAAGCAAACCTACTGCTGCCTGTGCACCAAGTATCCACTATACATCCTATTTCCAGAACAGTCATTTTCTTTTAAAAGTGCTTCCTACTTTTCTTACTATTTTGACCAGCCTGCAGGATAAGGACTTGGTAAATGTGTACTCCAGTGATAACACCAACTTCAGACACCTCTCCTTGGCAGCAAGCTGATCCCAAATCAGCATTCAGGTTCAGATGTTGCTTACCTCAAATTCATCAGGGCCACACAGAGGACATTCAAAGAACCAGTAAATAAACACACATCAACAAAACTATTAACTATTACTGCTGGTTTGCATTTGGATTGTGGGAATACTCTATTTTCACAGATATCTCTGTACATTTGAGCTAGGCAGTGGGAATGGCTTCCTTTTTCTGCAGAAAGGTATGATTGCAGTGCTGGCGTTACTTTAAACATATTAGAATCCAAATAACATTTTTAACTTGTGGAAAGCTTATTCCTAGAATTCTACCTGAAAAGGAAGTGATTATACTTTCTCCAGCAGAAAGTATAATAAATTGTCCTTTCAATTCACAGAATTATTTTTGTTCCTAGCCAAGTAATGTCATTGAACTTGTATGAAGTTGAGCTTCAGCCGTGATAAGGATGAATCCCACTTCTCCTTAGGAGCAAAAACACTTGGGAGGGCTGTGAAAATGACCTACCAGGCATGACTCACAGCAGAATGAAGTCAAATTAGTAAGACAGCCTTTGAATTCAGCCTATTTCAGGCTCTTATTTCTCCTGGAGTGTGCTGACCAGCCAGGCATATTTCCAGAAGGTCTCTGGTGCATATTCATTTTTGTACCTGTTGACACTGTACTGAGGAGCCTCAGACAGCTGTTCCCCATGCTCCCTAGACAGACAGCAGAGGAGACACCCCTTCAGAGGTTGATTCAGCCAGCAAAGATCTGAACTGGGCTTTGGAGGTGCTTCTCTGTCCACTTATCTGGCAGTATCATAGGCCAGCCATGTCCCTTAATTAGAGACGACGGAGCAGGCCTTTCGTGGGTAAAATAATTCAGCAGCTTTAGCAAGTCCACCTGCATGTTAACCAGGCAGGAGAAAAGCAAGATCTTGGGAAGAAGCTCTAGCAGAGTGAAACATGGGATTCAGTTTGTGGAGTAAGACACCCATATGCAGGTCTGTGTGTGGCTGGCTGTCTGAGTGCTCAGTCTATGATCCTGCTACTATTAGTAAAGATCCATCTATTTAGTTCACTGATTGTAGAAAACCCACCTTAAAGAAAATCCATGTATTGGGTCCGCTGATTTATTCTCTGGCCTTCACTGACTTTAATGGCCAGCCCTCTAATGACTGTTATACCAATGTTAATCCAGGATCTGAATCCTACTAGTTTTCTCCTTTATGTTATGGAATATTGTGGATGTGGGTTAAATCATAGATGTGCAAATACTACACGTAAGTCTGAATAATATGATTGCTGAAGTACAGCCTATTTCTGTTGAAAGGCAAAGTGGTGGGAATAATTCACAATTAACACTGAAGCATGGCACATAAATACCAGTAAAACAATAACCTTCTAAGAGCAGGCATATAAATCCATTTCAGTAAAGGGTGAATTCTCATACAAAGTACTAAACTGAGACATACCAACATGTTCTTTAATAAATGAAAAAAAAAAATAGTTATTTCATTAGTGATATTCAATGTTCCAGTAATGGTAGGGACAGCACATACCCAGAACAGCATATTGTGGTATATCTTTGAAGCATGGACTTTTCAAGAGAAAGGTGTTTCATTAAAAACTATCAGAGCACTGCAGTGTTCCCTAAATCCTGTGTAGTTGATCTGTCAGGATTCAGGCAGCTCACCGAACCAGTGTTAGAAGACCACAGGGCACACAGCAAAGCAGAGGGTGCAGACCCAGGAGCTCGTAATGGCTACACCAGCACTGGAGGTGAAACCAGCAGCTTCAGATCAGAGACAACTACTCTGAACTGCATGGACACACCAGCATGCACTGGAAGAGCAGGGAGCTTCTACCCCATGCAGGCCCACAAAGTGCAAACTGGAACAAAGGCTGGAGACTAGAGATATTAGAAAATTATTCTGATAATCAGTGCCAGCAGGAGTCATTCTTCTAATCTCCAGGAAGATAGAGGCAGCACAGCAAGAAGAGGATGTGAACAGACTCTTGCTGTAACTAGGGAAAGTGGCATGTCATGGTGATCCTCAGTGTTCACCTGAACAAACGTTAGATTTCAGACCCTGACACGTAATAAGTGTATGTGGGAAGAGAGGCTTTGCTGATGAAAGATGCGAATAGCAAATTTACTGGTCTCAACCTGGAGAACCGAGCCTGTAAGCATCACATGTAATCAGAAATAGGTTTCAAACCAACCATTACCGCTATCTAAAATATTCATCTGCATTTGCTTTTAAGGCTGGAGAGAATCAACCCAAAACCCCAAACTTCTTTTCAGAAGAATACTGATTTAATGGTTACAAAGTACCTCAGAATATGATTGTGTTATGATCAAATAGTTCATGCAAAACAAAATTCTGAAAAGCATCTTTCATTCTGATATGTCTGTTTTAACAGATTTTTCATTTCCATTTTTCCTTAGCTGAACTTAAAAGAATCAGCAAATGTTCAATATTAAATCAAAACATGTTGTTTGATGGACCATGAAGTTTTCCTCCATTTCCTCCAAAATGATTAGTGACTGAACCAGTATGCTCAATGCAAAAGTATCCTCCAGTTAGAAGCTACAATGCTTGAGGTAAATACTGCATTCACAAAGTAAATCTCCATGGTCACCACTAAAAGAAGATATTTTTACTACACAAAAAGCCAGTGCTACAGTTCCTTGTGTGATAAACTGGCAAATTTAAACTCTTTGGAGGATTTAAAACCCCAAACACTGCAGCCTTACATCTTAGATCCTGTGACACATAATAAATCAAGTCCACCAGCTGTCTTGCTGATATGGCTTGGGCCAAGAAATCACCCATGCTAAAAGGAACCACAGCTGCTTAAAGTATATTCTTTCTACTCCAAGAGCCCATCTGAAAAAAGCAGCGAGATGGAGAAGCATGGCTGTGAACAGCTGCTGGTTTCTGAGCATCACAGCTGCACAAGCCCATCTACTCTCCTTTCCTAGTTATGCCCACACTTTGAAAGCTTGCTGGCTGGGGCTCTATCCTTTAGGCTTGGATTTCTAAAGGAGCAAAGGAAGGGACTGGCTGTGCTTTATACTCAGCTAAGTGATCTCCTCTGGGGCAAAGAGATCAATTTCAAAGACAAAAATTTTGGTACCCAAAGAAATGGCTCAAGCTGTTTACTTGCATTTCAGGTATTTAAAATGTAGGGAACAAAAAAAGACGTTATTTGCGGGCCAGCATATTTCCTCAAGCAAATTATTACTATTATCCAGGTCTACATGACCCTGAGTCCAACCTAAGAATTTGGTTAGACAGATGACTGAACAAGTCACAAACTAATGAATTCCCAATGTTGTTTTTTTTCTATCAGTGAACAAAAGCTGTGCAGCATGGCACCGAGCACAGGCTAATCTAACCCGCTGTGAAACATGCTGGGTGAGCTTGCGCTGCTTCAGCAAGATTGTCTCCTGGCTTATTTAAGTCGCGTTGCCAACTCCACACTTTGCTGCAGTCACAGTATGGGTGTGCTGTAAGAAAAGAAACAGCTGGCACTTCAAGCTTCACTGTATGCCAATAGTTCAGAAAAAATCAGGGAAGAACATATCTTTCCAAGGAGCTCAGAGAATCTGGGCATGTGCTGAACGTGTTTTCAAAGGCTCTTGAGGAGTAACAATAATAACTGGAACTTTCATAGCTTCAGAGTGCCTGTATCCTCAGCACTCCTTTTTACACCAAGGGAATGACAAAGGGCAGTGTAAGGAATGGACTGCCAAAGACACTACAGCAAGCTGAAAGAACAGGGAGCAGAACTAGGACTTCACAGGGCTCTGCTCAAGAGGCCCCATCACAGTGGGGCCTTGGGAAATTTAAACTGGGATCACTAATGACCAATCTGTTCCTATTCCCTAAAATGCCC